GACCAAAAGAGATAACTTACTAACCTCCGATATTCATGACACCTATCGTTTGACACTGCATGAGGAATAGAGTATGTGAAAATAGTCTTAGCAGTGACTCGTACTTGTAGTCAGATACTTTCACCACGAAGTGTTTGTGAGCTGAAACGGAGGTAGAAGTGACAACTTGCTTTTTGTTCCTATATGTTCTATGTCACGTTCGTACAGTTTCAATTGTGTGACGTCATGATCTTAACATGCTCATTAGGGGCATATATTCAACTCGACAACCCGAACCAACCCAATCCAACCCGAACTATAAGGGTTGGGTTGGGTTGGATTAGCATTTCGGGTAAGGTTGGGTTCATTTTTCTGAACCCGAATTGAATCAGTTCGGTTTCGAGTTCATGGGATAAACCCTTGGGTTGACCCGAGCGACCTGATCCAAATAAATATATAAAATATATATTATTTATTTAATTTCATGATTTATCCTTATAGTTTTGTTATTCTAACCAATTGTAAAAAAATATCGGTATTTAATTAATGAGATGTTGAACTATGTTAATAGGTTAGAATTTTCGCTCCTCAATTCCTCTTTTTTATTTTTGTTTTTATGAATAATTATAGATTGATTTGTGTTTGTGTGAATTTTTAATATATTTTATCTAAGATTGTATACGAGTGTAGGTTAATAAAACTTAAAAAAAAAATTGACAACCCACCCGAAAATAAAGGGTTGGGTTGGGTTGGGTTGGGTTGGGTTAGGTTACCAATCCAACCAACCCAAACTTTTTAGGTATGGTCAAAAAAAATCCCTCAACCCAACCCAACCCAACCCGGATCATGTACACCCCTAATGCTCATGACAAACTTTAAAAAGAACTCGAGCCCTATGAACATGTTTCGCCCAACTCTATTTCTCTTTTTAATTTCGTAGTATAGAGATAATCGACATCTACAACAAATCTCATTTGTATACCCGACAATCTTTTCCGAACAAATGAACTTATAATAAAACCTAAGATGATATACTCCTGTTAAACAAAGAGCCACTCCGCCGGTCCAGCGCCGGCCGAGCAGTGATCCTTCGATGAATACAATGGCTTCCACCGTCCTTTCGGTTCGGCTAACCATATCCACACATACCATACACACAACGAACACGAAAACGACATTTATTCCCACATCTCCCACAATTAAACCGGCTAATATTTACATCAACACACAAACCTCTACAACATCGTCGTGGAAACGGGCAAATCTTACCACAAAACCCGCAGTTTTCACCGTCGGACCGAACATCAACACATCGATGTTTACAACACCTCATGATCTTCTTTCTCTTCCATCCATCATTTTCATTCTTCCAACAGAAGTGTTGTTTTCCGGAGCAATTATGCTTTTGAAAAAACTCGATATCAGCGTCGTGGTCGGTGTAATCGTCGAGCTTGTTGTTTAGCCACGGGGACAAGGGTAAGGCTTCGGCTTCGGCGTCGGCTCGGATGAGGAAGAAGAGGGAGAGGAGAAGGGAAAGATGGGCTAAGGTTGAGAGAGGCATTAATGGAGGGTTTTAGAAGAAAGAAGGGTGTTTTTTTTTCATGTTTTGGTTGAACTTATCAGTGTTCTTTATACTTTTCTTATTATCAGTTACGCCATTGCTTCAGCTTCAAGGAATTAAACTCTTGGGAGGGAAACTGGGAGATAAGAAGGAAAAGAATTACTTTTTTAACCTTTTTTTTTTTTTTAATTGAAAATGTAAGAAATTAAATTTTATAATTTTAAAAATTCACGGACCATCTAGATAAGTATTTTCCGTTCTCCTCCTCAACCAAGGTGGGATATCACAATTCACTCCCTTCAGGTCCCAGCGTCCTTACTAGCACTCGTTCCTTTCTCCAATCGATGTGGGATGCTCACCAAATCCACGCCCCAACCTTTAATGGGGACCTAGCGTCCTTGCTAGCACTCGTTCCTTTCTCCAATCGATCTGGGATGCCCGTCAAATCCACGCCCCAACCTTTAACCCTTATAAAAGATGTTTCGTTCTCCTCCCTAACCAATGTGGGATATCACAATCCACCCCCCTTTAAGGACCAACGTCCTTACTAGCACACCGCCTCGTGTCTTTCTCCTTCGGGGAATAGCCTCCTTGCTAGCACGTAGTCCGATGTCTGGTTTTGATACCATTTGTGACCACCCAAAACCCACCGTTAGCAGATATTGTCCTCTTTGGACTTTCTCTTTCGGGCTTCTCTTCAAGACTTTAAAACATGTCTACTAGAAAAAGGTTTCCACATCCTTAAACGTGTTTCGTTCTCCTCCTCCAACCATTGTAGGATATCACAAATTTAAAAAAAAAAATATTAGACCTACAAGAGTTAGAGGTAGACGACTCATAGCATAAATGGGAGCCAAATCGAGAACGAGAATCAAAACTGAATACGATATCAATAACTTTTTATATTTCTTTTTATCGGTATAATTACACTATAACTTTTTTTTTTTTTTTAAACTATAATTTTATGGGTGGACGAGAAATGCTTATTCATTTTATACCAAAGTATTTAGAACGAGAGAAGCTACTATATTGGAAGTGTCGTGTCGAGAGAAACCTTTGATGAATTAAAAGGTCGAACATTGAATTACAAAAATTAATTCATCAAAGTTTGACATTATGATGAAGGTAAAATATTAGTCGGAGAACGAATCCACTATACTGTATATCATTAACGACAACAATATCTAATTTCTTATTAAACGTTCAAATCTCTCTAAAGGTCAACTATTCATAACGACCGATACGAGATTTAATAATACCAGGGCCGATAATATGAATTTTGACGACGATATATCTTTGTACGAGAGCAAACGAACAATGCTTCCACATGAAGTTTACTATGTTTTAGTGTTAAGAAAGTGTTTGATCTTCAAGAACTCAGCAACCCTTCAATCTTGGTGTTTATGAACTCTCTCTAGACAGTTTTTCTATTTATAAAACTTCCACGTGCATGTGGCTTGGGCTTTGATGACTTTTGGGCTCAAAAATTACTTACTTTGTGGGCTTTGGGCCCAACTATTTAAATTTTATTTAATTTTGACCCAAATTTCAAATATCACCAAATTAAGTTTAATTATTGGGTGAAATGGTCTCCAAATTAAATTTCATTTAATATATTATTAATCTTAAATTTTATTAATTTTATCCTTATATGAAATTATAGCGTTGATATTTTGACGATAATAAACCTACATTATTAATAATTATTAGTATTTAAAAATTATTCATACTGTAAAGTTGGAAATAACGATTCCAACGCTTTTTTATTCAGTCAAATTAGAGCTAAAATAAAAAATACCCGCCTTGATGATGTAACGTAATATATAATATAATATATTATTTGAATTAAAAAATTACTCAGCATTATTATTTTAATATTATATTATTATATTTATAATAAATTTTTAAAGATTTTCTTTATGCTCGCATTATTTATTATATTATAAAATTTAATTCAACTGTTACTCACATTATTAATTATTATATTACATTTATAATAAATTTTAAATTTTTTATTAGTTCCTTTAAAAATTTTGATTTTTCCGTTACTCAAAATATTTATTATTAATTATTATTATATTATATTATTGTTACGAAAAGAATTGAATTGGCTCCTAAAATTTTTATTAAGAAAAGATTGAACTATAGTTATATTTTGGGAGTTTTTTTAATTTTATTTTAAAATTTTATTATAATTTTGACATGTTTTAAGATTTTCATAATTATTAATATTTTGAATTGTATTATATTCTTATCTCTTAATTAATTCAAAAAAATTAATAATTAAAAAATTAAACAAACTTAAATAATTTTATTATTAAACTCTATTCATCTCCATTTTTTTTTTCTCTAAAAAATTAGAATGAATTAAACATGGTAGATAATTGAGGCATATCTTTTTAATGTTTTTTTATTTAAATTTTGAGGTCGGTTTCTATAATATTTTTAAAAGAAATTTGACCCGTAAATAAATATATATTAATAATATATTATATTTATATTTGATCAATTAATTTGACCCGTTAAAATTTATATTCATTTAAAAATTTAGGGCCCACTTTATTTTAATTGAAAATAAGCCTTATTTCAACATTTAATTCCTTTATTATTATTATTATTATTTATTATATATTGAGGTTGAGGGTCAAATTCATGTTCCCAGGATGAGAGAGATTTGACCACAAAAATTATAACCTTTTATTACGTCATCACTTAAAGGCGGCGGCGGCTGAATTAATTTAATAAACTTTTACAAATTGTTTTCTAATTAATTAAATATATTCTAACTTTTATTGTTTAATTAAAATACTAACAAAGTAACGTAGAGGTTATTCGTTTTAAATAAATAATATTTTTTATTTTTAATATAATTTCTAATAAAAATCTCTCTCATGTTGTCCATTTCATTGGAGGCCCCACATTTGCATGTCAAAAAAAAAAATTAAAATTTTAAATTGATGTTCATTTAACTCTAATGAAATTGCCAAATTCCAAATTAAGCTAAATTTCAAATTAATTCAGTTCATTTAACTTAGATGAAAGTGTCGAATTCTAGAAATGAAATTACGTCATGCCTTAGGTCATACTTTGATTGAATAGTCATTTTCGCTCTCGCTTTTAACGTTATGAAGTTACTTTGTGACCTTCCATTCCATTCCATTACAAAGATTGATAGAGATATCAAAAGAATATGGCAAAGGGATATACCAATTTCTCTAACTTTTGAATCTTGTCTTATGCATCAAGTAGTTTGATCATAATAGATTTGACATTCGGGAGATAGGAGGGCCTATCATGACAAAACTTCCCTTTTCACGGTAGGAAAAGGTAAAGCAAGAACTATATATGTCTCATAGTAATCGAGGCGACAGCTTTAAAAGAGGTTAATTTTATCGAAACTGATCGAGATGTGTCTTGAAGATTCCCAAATGTCCTATCAAAACTATAGGAACAGCCAAGCTTCCAACCAAAGACCACAGAGTTATTATTCATAGCACCAGTTCTACTACTAACACACACAGTTTCCACCATCATACACAGTTATAATTCTTATTCATCGCTATCAAACCACCCTTGTAGACAAGTCACTGCATTGCTAAACTAAGCATTCCTGCGTACCGGTCACCGGGAGTCGAGGGGAGGCGTTTTTGGCTTCCACCTTCTTGACACAAGCATCACTTTCCTCCTTTGGGCAACTCGGGCTACCTTCAGCATTTTCAGCATCGCCTGTATTGATGACTTCAAATATGAGCGCACACACTTCTTGAAACCTCTCTTCTGAGAGGGATACCTCCGCGAGGAGCCTCCATGCATTTTCCTCCGATGCCTCCTCATAATCCTCCTTCCTCTTCAATACCATGTGACCGCTTATCTCCCAAACAGCTGGGTTCACTTGGGTTTCGAGGAGCTCTGAGCTCACTTCCCCAAGTGCTTGTTTCTCGGCATAACACTGTTAGTTGTGATCAGTCAGGTCGGAGTAATAATAAGAATATACATAATCGTAAACGATACCATTCGAGAAAATCAGCTTACCTGTGGAAGAAGAAAGATCCGTTGCCCACAATCAGCAATTAAGACATTGAATGGAATGTTGTTTTCTTGAAGGTATATGCAGGCATCAGAAACCGAGTTCGATAGAGCTTGCAAAGAATTTCCGCCCTCAAACACAAGCCCTCTAACCGGATATTTAAGCAGTTCAGAGACCAACACTCCATCTTTCAACGTGATAATTTTCTTCATCGGCGCCTTCTCAATCGGGAAAGGGACAGCCAAGTAATATGCCTAATTCAATATTTAGTTAATTCACATGTTCTAATGTCATTCAGGTGCACTTTTCTTGGTTGTGAATGCATATTAGAAGGCTAGATACCTGAAAGTGAAGGTGATTGATGGTGGCAAATGCGCCCAAGCTGTTATATCCGAGTCGAAAGTACGCATTCCCCGCCTCCGCTGCCATGTGAAGAGCAAGCAAGAAGCTTTCTGGATCGATCCTTTGTGGGAAACACTCAAGAACACGAGGGATCAAAAGAACATGTCCATATTCAATAGGACTGACCTGTTGACATATAATGAAAATGATCTTAAGAAACAAGTATACATAAGAACTCAATCCAAAAACATGAAGAACAGATACAAGTGCACACATTAATGGCAACCACGCTTGGAGAATTTTCAACATCGACCGGGGCATTTGGAATAAACTCTGTATCACCACCATTTTCATTTGGTTCAAACCGAAACAGGACCTCTTCTTGCCCAACCTTCGTGAAGTTGAATTTGCTACCATCAAAGGGCTGGAGAACCTTATCAACTCGAAACTCAGTCGGCCTCTTCTTCAGATGGCGCCCCTCGTTCAACTGAGCAATGAAACCATACTTCCCAGGAATCACCTACATGAAAATTCCCAAAAGATCTTCAGATTATATCCACATCCCAATTAAAAGATCACGTTCCTCAACAAAACTTGTTTCATAAGGTCATCTAAAACTCGAACCTTCGTTTCGCAAGCAGTGACATCATAGCGAAATAGCCCATGCTGCATCCGATCCTCCCACTACAACAATGGCACATCCTTTATAGATATTGAAACATAAGCATAATTGACAATCAAAGCATGTTCATCAACAAACAGACCTCCCCAAGAAGCAGCGAGTCAAGAAAAGCAACAGGAGGAACACTGTTCTCATATTGGCAGCACAAGCCTTTCGAACAAGCTATCTTGTTAAGCTCCTTGAAAGCATACAATGGAATCTTGGCTCCTAAAACAAGAATAAACGACCCGGATTTTCAACTAAATCATAATAAGCCAAGCACATCGTCAAACATGTTCAAGAAGATCTTCAAGGCTAACAAAACGGCCATAATTACAGCCCCAATACCCACAAAAGGAACAAAATCATTCTAGACTATGAATCAAGAAGAAAATACCCAATTTCACTAGCTAGGCATTTTAACAAATACCTTCAATGCAACACTTATTGAGACAGTTCCGGCCGCACCCACCTCTGCGAGAGACTTCCTCGGCCTCGTCCTTTTGGTAATTAGATACCACGGTAGGAACGCGCTTAATACTCAACATATCGACTGCTTCTAATTCAATTCAAATCGAAAACAAAAATCGCCGCCCCAAGAAAAAAAAACGCGAACAGAAACTTCCTGGCGTTAAATCTAAAATCGAAAGAGCTAAAAAGAATAGGATCCTTAAAAAAGGTAGTACAAGGAAGAGGAGGAGAACGAAAAACCACCGCCGGCGAGAAAAAGAAGATCGGAAGGACTACCCCCTTCAGAAGGCAGGGCACCACGCCCGCCGTGCGGCGAAGGATTGGTTGGAGTTATACAACCCTTTCGTCGTACAGCCCGGACATGAATGAACAGCCGGGAAACTACGTGTATAGCCGTGATGTCTACAACTTGACAAACCCGGGTTTTACCCCCACTGGAAAAACCCCTTGTGAGAAATGGCTTCTAGCTTTGACGATCTTTCTCCTCCGTAGCTCAATCCAAGGCACAAGTTCCTCAAAATCGAAGGTGGGGTGTTGATTTTGATGCAAAATTTGCAGAATCCAGAAGGGGAAACGGAACGGGAAGACGAAGGAGAAAGCGAGAGAGAGAGAGAGAGATCGAGAAGCGAAGAAGGGTAAAGGGGTGTAACTGTGGGGTTGAAAGCGGTTGAATGAAGAGAGAAAGTGGTGGAGATTACGATTATATAGAGGAAGATAAGAGAATGGGTCGAGGAGAGGAAATTTGTGTGGTGAAGAATGGCGGTCGTTGTGGCTACAGTTCAGCCATGAATCTCTACCCAAATGCACCATGCCCTCTCCTCATCGACCAATCTAAGATTCTGTTAATTACAAAATCAAGTCGGTTTTCCTTTTTCGTTTCCTTTTTTTCTTTAAAATTTGCCTAAATTATATATATATATATATATATATATATGTATATATATTATTATGTAACGCCCCGTCTACCTGCAATAGATGTCTTTGAGCTTTGCTTTTGTAGCACTCAACTCTTCAAAAACGCTTCTAGTAGGGACAGATTTCAACACTTTTTTAGGGGTTTCATTCTCCTCCCCAAAATATATGAAATACCGCTCCAAAATGACCTCAATTATCTGACTGGTCGAAGAGGGTCGGAACTATATATATTATATAATTTCTATCCGAAATTGTAATGTTAGCGTTAAGAGTATAAAGATGGTCGGAATATTAGATTAAAAAGTTGATGGGTATGAATATTTAATATAATCAAATGTCTAATTTTCAGAAGGAATATTGAAAATCTTTTTTAAAAAAATATAATATTTTGAAATTAGGAAAGAATTTAATTTAAAAATTTAATCTCGGTTATATTTGGAGTATATGTTCGGTGAAATAATTATAAAAAAACATCAAAAAAAAAATTTAAAATTATTTAGATTATTTTATTATACATTTAATTTAAAAATTAAAATTTTCTCGTTGGTTGGATTATACCAATAACTTAACCTAAATACTTTTTTTAATTATTTAAAAATACTATTTATGCATTATTTTAAATTAAATTTTTCATTTTCAAAACTTCAATTATTTTAAATCTTAAAAGAAAGTGTCTTTCAATTTAGGAAGGGAATCTCAAAACCATACATAAGGTAACTGTTTTGTCTTTACGAACAAGAGCAACAAATGTCATGTCATTTGTATGCGCTAGCATTATAACTTCGCTCGTTTCTGTATTTGATTCATCACCATCACTTGGTAGCCCTAATATTTTCCTACAATGGTATGATATTATCCACTTTGAACATAAGCTCTCATGGTTTTACTTTAGGCTTCCTCAAAAGACATCATATTTCTTGATTATAAACTCATGATCATTCACTAATTTATCCGATGTGGGACTTTCATCCAACAACACTAAATTTTTCATAAACCAAAAAATTAAAGATCAAACCATTGTCAAACCGGGCCTCAATATTCAAATTGTTTAAAAGAATCAACAAAATGCCAGTCTTTGAAGTTTGAGTTCGATGTCTACTTGGTCCATAAAATTTGAAAATTAACACTTTTGGTATCCTAAATTTTGAAAAACGATTCTAATTGTCATATCACTTTTTATACTGTCAACTAAAATAACGCTCAAATATACTCGATGAACATTTATAATTAGTTTTCAAATATGAGACCAAACGTGTAAATTTTCAAATTTTATGGACCAAATATACATCTAGCTCAAACTTCAAGGACTAAAAGTGTATTTTGCTCGGAATAATCTTAGCTCAACAAATAGAGGGACGTGAGATCAAAACTCAACCTTAAAAATGATAATATGTATCTTATCTCTCGATTACACGGTTTGGTCGTCAAATATAATTTTTTAAAAAATATATTTATATTGTTTTTTCTTTTATCAAAATTGTTGTCTTTATTTGACCCATATTCATAAAAAAAAATAAAAAGAATAAACTTTAAGAAATAATGCTATTCAAAATAAAATAATTAAAATAATATTTTAATTTATTTTAAAATTTTGTGTTCTAAGTTAGTTTTTAAATTAATGGAATATATTATATTATATTATTTTATTTTATTTATAAAGAATTTTAGAAATTATTTTGACCTTCATTTGACTCGTGATTTTTTTTTTAAAAATTCACCGAGATCAAGATAAGTTAAATATAAAATACATTGATCATAAAATTGAATAATTTATGGCTTGCTAGTATGTTACGGCATCAATTAATTGTTACTAAAAAATTGTATTTTTAAATATAAGGTATAAACTTAGGTTAAAATAACTAATATTAGTTCGCTAGGTTAGTTTAAACAACATCTTTCAATCGGTTCAATATCACAAAATTTAGTTTATTATCAATTTAATTTGTTAGTTAACTTATTATAAGTTATTTATTTATTTTTATTATTTTTCTTTAAAAAAAATGCTCAATTTGTTCGAGAAATTTTGGAAAGATTTTTTCAACACCAAAAAAATAAATAAATAAAAATATGAAAATAATATTTAAAGCAAGTTTTATTTATTTATTTATTTATTATTATTATTTTGAGAAATTGACAGGTTTGAAGTTTTGTACGTTATTTGAGCCCAAATAAATGGCATTCCATATTTGCCTTTATTTATTTCTTTCTCGGGAAGCCATATTCATTTCAATGTTCATATTTCCCAGGGATTGCTAACTTGGGGAGGAATTAATTAAACTTTACTTAAATTACAATTTTACCCCTTTAACTTTTAGATCCGTGTCGCTATAGTCCATCAAAGTCTTTCGAGTCTTAACTTTTAATTTTGTGTCTAATATGTTATGCCAAAATAAATAATTTTGTTTATATTAAATTCAATAATAAAAATTAAACATTTGTTTGAGGAATAATGTGGTATATTCCTCGATAAAAAATGTGATTTGTTGGAATGTTTTAGTTCTTTCTTCGAAATGATTCCGCATTTGAAATATACAACAAATTTATTTTGGTCCTTTCTTCCAAATGGCTTGGGTTCCCCTAATTCATTTATATTAGGTGCATAGAATGATCTTGTATGTCTACATTGTATGAAGCGAAGCCGAGTACCATCTTTAATATTTATCACTTCATTCATAAACCTCTCTAGAATTGGACAACTTATTCTCGAGTAAGTTTGTTGATCTTTTTGGATCGATTTTTTGCTTGTTTATCGAGTTGGGTGAGCTCTTGACGGGTAGATTTTATTGAAGAATCGATCAAAGTCTTGAAGTTTCGTTCGAGTTGTCTTCAAAGAAGTTTCAATCTTCGAAGCTTTTTTTTCCTTTTTCTTTAAAGTCAATTTAAAATTTTATGATTTGAAAGTCTTTGTTTTGTGAACATTTCTCTTGAATATCTTAATCTTTTAAGGCGAATTATTGGGGTTCTATTTATAGAGCTTTTCTTGGACATATGGGCTTCGCTTTAGTGACTTTTGGGCTTGGGCTTTGTTAAATTTAGGCTTAGCTATTGGGCCTTGGGCCTTGGGCCTTTTAATTATGGTCCATACTAACCCGTTATAAAACACATATGCTAGGGAAATATTTCCACACCAACCAATGTGAGACATCGTTTATAAAATTTTCAATAAATAATAAACTATCTGGGAAAATAAGCAAATTACATACGAAGCATCACAGTTGAAATCAAGTCACCACTATGTACCCTCACACAAGAAAACAGTTGAAATGGCATTAACAAAATGTGCTCTAATTATTATTATAACAGCAAAAACTACGGAAGGGATCTAAATTGGCAGCCATTTAAACCAGGCTGCTGCTCATGCTGTTCAAAAAGAGATGATGATAGTACTTACTACGTACACCATTCCACTGATGTAAGTAAATGCTTCAACATTCACAATTAATCAAAGAAACGAGACAAGGTAGTAATATAGCTTGTAAGTTTGAACGAATGAGGATGCTTACTTCTTTCCACTTGGCTCCAATTTCATGTCTTGAAGGTTCAGCAACAGATCATCCGAATTCAGGTATACCCTGTTGGATGAGTGCGCAATTGTGTGTGCGATTTCTCTTGCTGCTTCGATCTTCCTCAGAGTCATGAACGCCGGGTTATTGGCAACAGCTTGCCCTATCAGCTGCCCACTCTTGGCTTCTCCCTGGTACCCACATCAGAGAGAGCAAACAATTTATGAACTGATTAATATATATTGCAAACCAACAAAGAAAGGTTGGTAATGAATTCGTTTATCATCTGTTAACCTCACCTGGGCTCTAATGACGGCACTTTTCTTGTCCTGTTCAGCCTTTTCGACGACGAATTTAGCTCTTTCGGCTTCTTGGGCAGCCACTTGTTTGGCTTCAATGGCAGCTGTAAACTCCTTTCCGAAAGTTAAACTTGTTATGGACACATCATCAAGAGCAATGTTGAAATTGGCTGCTCTCTCAGTTAAAGTCTTTCGGATTTCTCTACTTACAGCCTGAAAATGAACAGGCAATCAGCATAACACTAACATAAGGAGGTAAATGCATAACGTATAAATAGAAGGAACAATATTCAGTTCAGCTAAAAAAAAAAAAATGAATCAATGAGATGAACAAGGCAGATACACATACACATTGGAAACCTAACTAGCAGAGAATAAGTGTCACTTTACCTCTCTTTGCGTGATAAGTTGGCTGGCATTATACTGGGCGACTACAGATTTCAGAGTTTCTTGAATGATTGAAGGCAGAACTCTGTCGTTATAATTTTCACCAAGTGTTCTATACATTGTAGGTAATTCATTCGGCAATGGACGGGTAAGAACTCGGAGACCAATCCTAACCTGCACACCAGTCCGAAGATATATAATTACTTGGCATAACAATGATGGATAATTGAAATACCTACAGAATTTTCAAATTGGCAAAAAAAAAAAAAAAAAAAAAAAAAAAAAAAAAAAAAAAAAAAAAAAANTCAGCATAACACTAACATAAGGAGGTAAATGCATAACGTATAAATAGAAGGAACAATATTCAGTTCAGCTAAAAAAAAAAAAATGAATCAATGAGATGAACAAGGCAGATACACATACACATTGGAAACCTAACTAGCAGAGAATAAGTGTCACTTTACCTCTCTTTGCGTGATAAGTTGGCTGGCATTATACTGGGCGACTACAGATTTCAGAGTTTCTTGAATGATTGAAGGCAGAACTCTGTCGTTATAATTTTCACCAAGTGTTCTATACATTGTAGGTAATTCATTCGGCAATGGACGGGTAAGAACTCGGAGACCAATCCTAACCTGCACACCAGTCCGAAGATATATAATTACTTGGCATAACAATGA